CCCATGCCAGGACCGCCTCCTCTTGGACCACCACCGGCTCCGCCCTTACGGCCCCCTGGACCACCTACGGGCCTTCCTCCTGGACCACCTCCGGGTAAGTCAGCTCTGATACATTGTGAGTAAATAAGTCTCCCTGTGATTAGAGGGATGAAGTCCTTCCAAAAATACATATCATTAGTATCGATGTTCTGTTTTCTCCTAGTATAAGTCACTAAGAGATAAAGGGTACATGCAGTTTGTTTATTCCTACAGCACTGTTTGCAATTCATAGTACTTTTGACAGCCATCTTTTTCTCCAAAGCTCTTCTCTTTTTAGGGTTCTGTAGTTTTGAGGTTAGCAGGCAGAGGAGTATGAATCTGGGGGTTTCTTCAGTATTGTTTTTTAAATATGACGAGTTGACCCAATTCTAAGTTGATAGCTAATGGGACTGGGGCACAGTAAATACTAACAGGCATCCTTCTTTGGTTGGGAATTGTTGGATGTCGGTCTTTAGAGACAAAAGGGATCAGTATTAATATAATCTTTGGCATATAAGAATGAGAAGTTCATTTGAAATTTGAACTTCTTGGTTACTTATGATTTTATAGTCCTTCATCCTATAGTTGTCCAGTTAGGTTTTCTTCATTGAGTTCATCTTTTTCTGATTGGTGGTGCAAAAGCACATTACCTGTCTTATGTCATCTTCAGGCATCGTTGCCTATGTCTTCCTGCATTTCAGGGGGGCATCCTTAAAGCACCCTGCTTTATATTCCATTTTCAGCTTATTTTGGAACCCATTTAAGAATTATTCTTCTCTTTGTACAGTTTCTAGCCCAGCTCAGCTGTGCTATTAAAAAAAAAAAAAAAGAAGCTATGCTTTTTGTCAGTACTGGCAAATAAAGAGAAATGATCCGTAACAAATCCAGTTCCGTGTCTCTGGTGCTCAGATATTTGTTGAATGAATTCTTTTTCTACCTATGTTTTGATCAGTTTTTGAAGTTACCTGATTTCAAGTTAAAATGCTAATAAGTCAGACCACACTTGAGTTACCTTTATACCATAGTTACGACTTCGTATGTATGTCTCTTACATTAATTTGTCATTTTTCTCTTTTCAGGAGCTCCTCCATTCCTGAGACCACCTGGAATGCCGGGACTCCGAGGGCCTTTACCCCGACTTTTGCCTCCAGGCCCACCACCAGGCCGACCCCCTGGCCCTCCCCCAGGTCCACCTCCAGGTCTGCCTCCTGGCCCTCCTCCTCGGGGACCCCCACCAAGGCTACCTCCCCCTGCACCTCCAGGTGAAGCTTTTGATTTCTAGTACAAAAACTTGACTACTGTGTATTTCATCTGCTCTAAGACATATTTTCACATTTCAGTATCTTGGAATCAAGGGGTATCCTAAAATGATGTTTTTTAATTGCTTTTGGCCTAGGTTGAAGTTGAGTTCTTCCACAGGGTATTTGCACTGGATTCTGCCTGTCGTGTGAGGGACTTTTCCCAGGCAGAGACCACTTTGGATTAAATTCTCCATTTGAATAGGGTGTTGGTGGGGGGACAGGGGGAGGCAATTGTGAAGTCGTTCCATATATTTGCATGAGTACAAACTTTAAGTTTGAAATTACAAGGCAGATTTCCTTGTGCTCTTATTTCATGTAGTAGGTGTATTTCTGGTTTATTACACTGTCCCAGTTTAATGTGAAGGTCTCCTCTTAAACTCCCCAGCTTGGACTCTCAGTGGTATCTGGAGTAATTATGAGTCTGTATAAGCAGTAGTATCTTAAGTTCAATGAAATTTGACATTTTATAATTGTTCTTAAAAGTGGCATTTGAAGAAAATAAAATCTGCAATTCTGGGTAAACGACGACGGTATGTCTGAACCATCAAAGGACATGAATTCTTTCCCAGTGGCGGTAACCTACTGTGATCAGTTACATTCATGTCCTCTGATGGTTAAAATTCCATTTCCTGCCCATTGGGTTACCTTTTTCGGGGGAGGAATGGTGTGGAAATTGGTAAATAATGCATGAGAATCAAACCCCCAGTCTTGGCCTTGATAGCATCTGCACTATACAGCTAGAATAGAGTCTTCGGCTGTCAAATCTGAAATCATATTTGAAACCAGTTGGTGTTGACAGCTTTCTCTTTTAAAATAGTACATTACTCAGAGAGGAAGAAAACCTAAGTACAGGGGTACAGACTGAAAGTGAATCTTATTTCATAATAAAATATTCCTTACTATCAAAACGTATTCCCGAGTTTCAGATAGTAATAAGCAGCCTGGTTTTAGCGTATTTTCTGTAAATGCCAATTTTGAAAAAATTGTCAGCCTCTGTTTTTCACATCCTTCATAGTAGTTAAAATTTATTCTCGTAGTCTTCATTTGCCTGTTTTCTCCTCCGTTTAGGTATCCCTCCACCTCGTCCCGGCATGATGCGCCCACCTTTGGTGCCTCCACTTGGACCTGCCCCACCTGGGCTTTTCCCACCAGCTCCCTTGCCGAACCCGGGGGTGTTAAGTGCTCCACCCAACTTGATTCAGCGACCCAAGGCGGATGATACAAGCGCAGCCACCATTGAGAAGAAAGCCACGGCAACCATCAGTGCCAAGCCACAGATCACTAATCCCAAGGCAGAGATTACTCGATTCGTGCCCACTGCATTGAGGGTACGTCGGGAGAATAAAGGGGCCACTGCTGCTCCCCAAAGAAAGTCAGAGGATGATTCTGCTGTGCCTCTTGCCAAAGCAGCTCCCAAATCTGGTCCATCTGTTCCCGTCTCAGTGCAGACTAAGGATGATGTGTATGAAGCTTTTATGAAAGAGATGGAAGGGCTTCTGTGACAGCTTTTAATGCCACGGCAGGTTTCTGTTCACATCAGTGGTTCGTGGGGAAAGAGGCTCTTACTACACTTAGTGAAAGAGTGACTTTCGCTGTCAGGGTATTTTTAAATTTTAGTTCAAGGAATATCCTAAAGTTTAGCCTTGTTCAGAATTTATTGCATATAAGAGAGGATTATTTCATTCAGAATAGATTGGTTATTGAAGCAGTGCTGCTAACATCCATTCCCTTTCAGACCACCCTTTTCATCCCGTTTGTTCCCCTTCTCCAATTCTTTGGAAACTTGTGATCGGGGGGAATCTTTGTTACTTACTTGTTTTGATTCTCGTGTGCGGTGGGCACTGGAGTAGAGATTTCTGGAAAAAAAAAAAAAAAAGTTTATTTTACCCCATCTTGCCTTTTGTGTTTGAGTTATTTTAATATTTTCTTGTAAATATTTTGTAATATTTTAGTGAAATGGATCGCAGTGTCATTTCCTAATACAAAGCAAGATATGTGGGAAGAAAATGTACAATTCTTTGATTAAAATTACTTCCCACTGAGCTAAACTTTGAGTGTTTCGTGGAATAAATAAATAAATGTTCTACACCAAGATATCCTTTGTGTTAACTGATAATATATAAATATGGTATCTGTGTTATGGGCAGAAAAGAAGCAAGTATTTAAAAATTGTGTTTTAAGGAACTACCATTGCTGGTACACAATGAGAATCTTATTAAGAATATCGTTGAAAATAAGTTTTAAATTTTAAGGCATAAAGAAAAGAGAATTATTTTCCTTAATGGATTATGATATTGGCTTTGGAGAAATTGAGAGGTTATTAATTGCATAGAACATGAGTCTTTTCCTCAAAGATTGTTTATTTTTCCAGAGCTCTGTAAGCTGACACTAATTGATGGGCGAAAGCTTTTAAACCATGTCTAAATTATTAGATAGCCAGAAAAAGTTACTTTTACTTTGTTCAATTTGTCAGTTGTGTAAGTTTTTATTATTAAAAGACATAAAATGAAGAATGCTCAGTACTATTAATTTGCATTGATACCATTTTCTTTAGTGTTTTAATAACTAATTGAGCTGGACAGTAATCCTGGGAAATGATTTTCACAGATAGTTTCCCCATTTTATAGATGAGAGTATTGAAGCTAATGGATTATCCAGTGGCCCCAAGTATGAATATTTTATGAACAAAGATGTACACACACACATGCACAATGGGACAATGTGTGCATTGGGTTTAAACTAGGCTTACCTATTCTTACTTTCCATTGTATCTTCAATACCTTTCATGTGAATCCCATGTCATCAAAAATTGGTGGTATCCTAAAAAGATAATACAATAACACAATAAGGCTTTTATTTTCTTGCAGGGGATTTCCTTGATGGATTTTTAGATTTCTATTCTGAGATCCTTTGTGTGTGAGACTTTTCTTGGAAGTCATTCTTCCAGATTAAAGCAGGTCCTGTCAAAGCAGTCTATAGGTCACTTTGGATTTTTTTCTTTTTTTTTAGTATAATCATTCTAGCTAGGCCAGTATGTGAATTGAACCTTTTACCATTTAGATGAAAGGATGGAACACAGTTACATCATTATCAAGTCAGTATTATAATTTAAATGTAAACAATTATTCTTTGGTATTTGGTGTGCAATATTTTTAATGTTCTTGCTTGAAATTTGTATTTTTTCCGAGATTTCTGTTCATATTTATTGAGGAAGCTGTTCACAGTTTATCATAAAGTCATCTTCTAGTATCGCTTGTTTTATTTTCTGAAAACAGTTGTAAAATCTGACACATTCATATGTCAGCTGTATTTGCAGGAAAGGGGAATCAGCAGTTCAAAATTTGGGTAGATTCTGAGTAGGAATTTGTTGTCATGATCATAATTTACATTATGGTTTCAAAATGGATCACTGCTAAATTTGATACAAATCTTTAATCAGACAATACGGCTCAATCCTGTTTCCTTCTGAAAGTGTCACTTTATTAATTAACTGCCCCTTAAAGTCATTTTGAAATTCCTTTTACTCTTTTCCCTGGGCTTTAAGGTATAAAATGTGAATTAATGATCACAACAGTATTCTGCCATGGTGTGGAATCAGCATAAAGTTCTAGATGACATCCAAAGTTCTGTTAGTTTCAATTCTCAATTGCATATTCTAGTTTGTGCTCTTTATAAACTATTGCTTTATTTATACATAGTTGGGAGACATTTTTTAATATTAAACTTCTTTTTACTTCAAGTAATTCTTCAGGCTACAAGATGCCACAATCCCCATCCCATATAGAACTGCACACTCATGTTGTCTTCCATTCCAACTGCAGCAGGTCTAATACATGAAAATGTTCCTCAGCCAGAATCAGTTTGGAGGACAGGCCTTACAGCACTTCCGGAACTCAGAGCTGTCACCAAGCAGAGCTATGGATAATGTCTACCACACCTAGTCCTGGGTTCAGGAAGGTATAAACGAGCTGTGGGGAAATTTTTCTGTTCTTTACATCCCTGGAATTAAGGGCTTTTAGCAAAGGTCAGAGCTAGGACTTCTGTGAGACCAAAATAACTCTCCGTACCACAGTTCTCTTTATTTCTAAGAATGCCTTTGAGTTTTGCTGTGAAGGAAATTAGGTAGCACAGAGGGCAGGTGCCTAAGGACTGGGTGAGCAGAGGGAGGGGTTTTGCTTTATCAGCATGGTCCAGTTTGCTGAGGGCTAATAGCCAGGAGAGAGGGACAGGTTGGAGAATGAAAAGAGTGATTGATGGAATGAGCTACCTGAGGGCTTGGGGAGGTGTGTGAGTCATAAACTATCTATTCTGCAGATAGTCACTGAGCGCCTACTGTGAGTTAGGTGCTGGGGAAATAGTGGCAAGGAAAGTCAGATGAGGTCCCTACCCTCAGGGTCCTTATGGAAATTTTAAGACATAAAGTATCGGGCGCCTGGGTGGCTCAGTTGGTTGAGCGACTGCTTTCGGCTCAGGTCATGATCCTGGAGTCCCTGGATCGAGTCCCGCATCGGGCTCTCTGCTCGGCAGGGAGCCTGCTTCTCCCTCTGACCCTCCCCCCTCTCATGTGCTCTCTCTCTCCCATTCTCTCTGTCTCAAATAAATAAATAAAATCTTTAAAAAAAAAAAGACATAAAGCATCAATGTCTGTATCACTTCTGTCTTATACCTTGAATACGGTGTTTACCAATACTAATTTTTTAAAAGAATTTATTTCATTTAACCTGTGCTAATGAACAATTTGGAAAAAAATAATCTGACAGCTATTCTATGCCATGTGCCAGTGAAGACCTAATTCATCATACCTTATAATCTAAGCCTTTTTTTAAAGTTTTTAAAAAATTGAAATGTTTTCTCTGAAGGTTTAAAAATACTAAATATCAACTGATTACCTTAACAGTGCTGCAACCAAATAGAGAAAAACATTAAAAAAAAAAATAAGTTTGCAAAGAAAAGACCATGGATTCCCCAATACATTGTTTTTCCTTGACCTGTTGTCCTATTCAAACATTATTTCCCCTCATTGGCCGTCTGAACCCTAAAAATAAGCTGTCTACTATTGGCAATTTACCATCATGAATCCTTATTAGTAAGAATTATATTGCATTTACAGGAGATAAATACAGGAGAACTAGGAGAATTAACACTTTAAGAATGCTGTGAGATGCAAAAAAAAAGTGTTTTAAGGATTTTAAGGATTTGCATAGCAGAGGAAAATTAGGATCCAATGGTGTTTATATCCATAGAATCTCAAGAAAAATTAGAGTCCAAGGAAAAACAGAATTAATTCCATCATTACCACTGCACCCAGCAACCTTGACTCCAATAAAATGGGGAATAAGGTAAAGAAAAGAAAGGTAACAGCCAAAGTTCAGGCAGGGAGAGGGGGAAAACATGAATATAGATAGCTATGAAATCTTGTCTGATTTTATAAAATACACTACCCACAAATGAAAAGGCCATGCTATTATGAAAGTGGGACTTTTTTTCTGGGAGTTGATAAAGGTTGCCATGTTTAGGGACTTACTGCAAAACAAAACCCAAAACAAAAAACTCCATACCTTCGAATAATATTTGTCGGCTTTTTCGAGTGATAAGAGAATCAAAATGCAGGCAAATACAAGTCCAGCTTCTCCTATGACCATTCTTACTGCTGAGTAACCCAGATCTCAGGAGGAGCGATTTTAAAATCCGTATTTATACTCTGAGAGTTTATTCATAAAATACATGTTCATGAGAAAACTTACGGTGAACATAAAGAATGGCATGAAAATACATTTCTGAAAAAAATTAGGACAATTCATTTAAATAGATACTTTGTGTTTATTTGGGTTTTTATTTTGTTTTTTTATTTGTTTCCACTATTAGACAAGAACAGGGATCAGCAAACTTTCCGTAAAGGGCCAGATGGTAAGTATTTGGGGCTTTGTGAGCCCTGTAGTCTCTGTCACAACGACTCAATGCTGCCTTTGTAGTGTGAACTCTGCACTGCAGACAGTCACACTCCCTGACCTCCAGGAAAGGACCACAGGAGATCAGCTCTGGGAGGTGGCCCTGTGCAGGGGTCTGGGCACTGCTGAAGGCCAGAGGCCTGGAGTGTGGTTTCCCTGGTGGGAGGCTGCAGGAAGGCAGTCCCCAGAGCGAGTCGGGGCTGCCGGGTCACAGACTGTGCATTCTGGACACATGGCTGGGGCAGACTGCCATCTGATGTCCTCACACCTCACGGCTTACCCACCACTACCACCGGCAGCCTGAGCCAACAAGAGCTGTCCCTTCCTCCTGCCAAGTCATTCCAGTGCCTTCTACTGAGAGACTAGCATGCTTACCAAAATGGAAAAAATGATTAAAGGAATTCTGCCTCTTTTCTCAGAGCAAGTACCGAAGGTTGAATGTGGGGCTCAGAGGCAAGAAATTCATAACTGGCTTATGTGTGTGTGAAGAAAATCCAATCTCCTGTCACAACCTACTTACAAAATTATTGGCACCAGTTCCTCTGACAAAAACAAATGGAGTATTTCTCAAGTTCCTTCTGCCAGGTAACCGGTTAGGCACTGTTCGCTTATGTGTATGAGCTAATGATAAAAGGCTTTTTGGGCCGTCATTTTTGTTCTTCAAACATCTCAAGAGAACCCTGGTTGACTGGCAGTCTCCATGTCAGGAGTACACTAACTAGAACAAAGCTAAGTAGAAGGTAAGCAAAAGCTGCTCTGAGAGAAACTCGGACAGACAGTGGTACTCACTAAAATTTTCCAATGGTTCTTCTACAATTTCCAAACTTCTTTGCACTTCAATTAAACATGGGGTTAGTTCTACTCAAGCGGCTGAAGCAGAGAAGAATGGGTGTGAGTTCCCTGTGTTTCTGCATCTGCTGCTGGAAGGGACAGGAGGTAGCTTGGTATGGCTGGTGAGTGGTATATATATGGAAAAATGGCAGAATAGGCTGGAATCTCTAAGTTTTATAGACTTAATTTAAGCTCTACTCTTGTGAAAGCTTCAGGATGGGATCTCATCTGCTCTGTTTGCTCTTGCTAGCCCTCTCTGTAGGTCAAGGGTTTTGTGACGGGGGGTGATCTTTGTCACGCCACGGAAGGCCCAGTTCCCCTCTTCCCCTATGGCAGTGGGTGCCTACCCACTTCGTGTTTGGATGGCTAAGAGGTCTGGCCCTCCAGAGCCCCTCTCTTTACATATTTCCACTCTGTTCTATGGCCCCAGGAGGCTGAATTGCAGCGATTGCATCAAGGGGCCTTTTCTGTCGTTTGGCTTTCACTTGGGCTGGCCAATGAGAAGCAGGATATTGGAGGAAGGGAGGAAAATGAGGTCATGGGAACCTGAATGGCTGTCTTAGATTAGACCCCCTTGATTCTTCCTGTCATGCAGGCCCCCTCCACACAACTTTATCCTACCAGGTCTGGTGAACACTCCCTCCTTTCATTCCATCAAGCCCAGGGGTGGTCATGGAGCCCAGCTGTCCCTAACCTCCTTCCCTGTGGTTTCCCTGCACACTACTCATATC